TCAGAATACCTCAGAATCGTAGGTTTGTTTCACGGCCGGTGTGTCCATGCAGGGTAGCAGCGAACGTGCATGAGTGGGTTGACATTGACTGAACAGATACGGTCCTTTCTTGTCGGCCGTCTGTTCGGGTGGCATAAACTGAAGTGCCGTACATCCTTTGCCTGTGCTGTATTCGAACAACAGATCGCTAAAAATACAATACATTTTCATAAGAATTTAAAACACAAAAAATTTTTGTGAATGTACAGTTGCTTGACGATGAAAACATTGCTGATAAAAAAATGACCCTCTGCATATTATTGCTACTCATTTCAATGACGGTTGATCATTCATTTTAAAAACTGATTTTAAAATGAGTCTACACAGTTCTGGTAATGAATACATAAGTAAATATGTAAATGAATCGATTGAAAATTTATTCTTAATGAACAATCCGTAAAAATTAACGAGAGGAAAAACTTAAAAATAAGCGCAAACTTTTCAAACTCAAATGAACCATCAAATAGATAAGAGCAAGCAAGAAAGGCACTGATCAAATGAACTGAATCATTTTGAAAAAAAAANAAAAAATTATTTGCTCACTGATCGAGACAGTATTTCATTTTAAAACAACCAAAATTAAATTTTGAAATAATTCGAAAAAAGATGTGTGTTCAATCAGTTTTGCATAAAATTCACGCATAAACTCTGATTCAGTATCATATAATATGTCACCGTCTTATTCACAAGTTACTGTTTCAAATGACTAAATTTTTTATGAGGTTTAAGTGATTCTGGAAAAAGTATTCGTCAACTTTTTGATATTTATGTTCACATAAAATGATAAGAAAAGAAAGTTTCTTCGAATTGATCGCATAAAAAACATTCTTTCGCAATTCCAAAACTCTACATGTGGTACTATAAAAACTGTCACATAAATTGAAACATCTCACAAATCAATTCAAAACGAACAATAAATTATCGGGTTAATAATCACAAAAACTTACAAGTTTATCGGTTGCCTTGATGAATTTCACTTTCAGAATAGCACTCCCATTGATACGTGAATTCTTGAAGTCCACATCCCAATTCAGCGTGAAGTGCTCGACATGTGCTTCATTGAAGTTGGCACTGGATGAAGGATCGCTGANACATCCCAATTCAGCGTGAAGTGCTCGACATGTGCTTCATTGAAGTTGGCACTGGATGAAGGATCGCTGATCTCGAGTGCACCACTTTCAGATGCCATAAGACTCCTGAACAGGATGGCAACAATAGCAACGACAGCTGACGACGCTAGCATCAAGAGCAGTTTAGCAATGAATAGTGAATGGCTTGCTTCAGGCATATGACTGACTGAATGGCTTTTGTTTATTTGTTTTAGCTTTTCGTTTTTCATCCGCTTACAACGGCTTTTCGTTTTTCATCCGCTTACAACGGTTTCGTCATCACAGACAGCTTTCATGTGAAGAAATTCGCTGTGAGCAATAATTGTTTTCGCACGGAACGCAGCTGACTTGAATTAAATAAACAAATTTCTCACAGTTGTGCGCAAATAATGAAAATTATATTGGTTATAAACGATCTGAACTGATAAAAAAAAGCTTTCGCTCAAAACATTTTCGTTGAAATTGATTGATGCGAATAGTAGTTATAAATTCAATGGTTCTAATGCTACAGTTTGTTATTGCTACCATCATCATAAAGGGCGCTTAATATGAAGAAAATACAGTTCAGTGCATTGTGATTCAGACTGTAGTTAGTGTAAATTCACTGCTGAAATTTTTCATCATGAGTCGATTATGCTGAAACTAAGAAAGTTATGACGACCAAAAGCATAAAATTTTAAAATATTTCGCAAGTATGCGAGCTTCCATGTTGTACAGTACCGTGTGCATCATGACTCACTCATACAAACAAGACAATCAATACTTTAACTAATGATGAGGAAAGAAGACATTCTGCAACCTAACGAAATTTTAGAAAAAACCCGAAAACATGAGACTAACCTCTAGGTTTACTAAATAATTTTAATAATAAGGATGCACTCCCCACTAAGGATGCACTAGAGCCATAAGCAATTCATTTTAATAATCAATTTATCTTACTAAATTATTTTAATAATCTAAAAGAAATTTGTTTTCAATGAAATTTCATCAAAAGTGATGAAACTTCACAGTTTTTAAGAAAATAATTGAAAAAATAACACGAGCACACTTTTTTCGTTACAACCGAACAACAACAAAAAAAGGAAAAAAAGGAAATAAAGGAAAGGAAAGGAAATAAAAAGGAAATAAATAATATAAGGAAAGGAAAGGAAATAATGAGGATTGCAAAAATAAACAAAAAATACAAACGAAAACTGAAATGTCATCAAATAATTACCATATTGAACCCATTGCGATGATTATTCAGTTGACTACGTTGAACTGTGCACGCTGCAATGATAGACTCGCTCACTGCTATAATAGTAAAGAGAGTAATTGCAAAGAAACGAGCGATGTGTCTTCGCTTAAAACAGGAAGCGATTAACATAAAAGCAACAAGATGAATGCGTCAAAGAAGATATTTTCATATACAATTTTATGATTACCAATAAGAAATTTGAGAAATCCACATAAATTTTGCAATATTTTAATGTGTATTCAGCTTTTTTCTACTAGCAAGTTACTCTCTCAAGTGCTGAATCGATACTAACTGACTGATTGTGAGCATTTGAACAACTTGAACAGTGGTTTCCGTGGTAATTATTTGATGACATTTCAGTTTTCGTT